AGCACCATGGTTTCAGTGGGCAGAACGGGCTCATGACTCTGTCAGGAGGAAATGGAGGTTAACTTGTCAAGACGAAAGAGCCAGTCAAGGGCGGAGCAAGACCGTGAACTCAGGTTGATCTAACTCAAGTACAGACCTCTTTCCCTTGAACAAAACTTCAAGCCTGGCTACATGCTGGAGTCATCTGGGGAGCTTTTAAGAAATACTGATGCTGAATAAACACTTTCCCAAAGATAACATGCAAATGGCTAACAGGTCTAGGAAAAAAAGTGCTTAGCATCACTAATCATCAGGGAAACGCAAATTGAAACCACAGTGAAATATCACCTCACTGCTGATAGGATGACATATATATATATACGTTCTCCAAAAGACAACAAGTATTGGTGAGGATGTGGAGAAATTGAAACACTTGCACAATGGTGCAGCCACTATGGAAAACTGAGCGGAGATTCCTCAAAACATCAAAAATAGAACTGCCGTATAGTCCAGCAATCCCACTCCTGGATATGTATCCAAAATAATTAAAATCAGGGTCTCGAGGAGATATTAGCCTTCCCATGTTCATTGCAGCATTATTCACAAGAGCCACGATGTAGAAACAGCCTAATATTCATTGACAGATGAATGGATAAAGAAACTGTATACTCGTATTTTATACACACAACAGTATATTAGTCAGCTTTCAAAAAGAAGGAAATTTTGCAATATGCAACAGCGTGGATGACCCTTGTGGACATTATGTGAAGTGAAGTAAGCTGCTCACAGAACGACAAATACAGTATGATTCCACTTATATGAGGTTTTTAAAATAGTCAAGTTCATAGAATCAAAGACTAAAATGGTGGTTGCCAAGGGCTGGAGGTGGGAGAGATACGGGGAGTTACTAAGCAAAGAGCATCGTTTCAGTTAAGCAAGATGAACATGCTATAGAGATTTGCTGTCTAACACTGTACCTATAGTCGATGGTACTGTATTGTGCACTTAAAAATGTGTTGAGGGTAGAGCTCATGTTTAGTGTGTGTACCACAGTAAAATTAAAAACAAAAAAATGAAAAGAAGGAAAAGAAACCCTGATGTGATGCTGCACCAACCCTCAGTTCTAACCTGGTCATTCTGGGGTGCAGCCCAATGCCATGGTGCAACTTAACATGTTTACGGCTTGCTCTGCTCTTAGTAGTAATTGTGTCTATGTACTAAGCACTATACTTTAAGTACCAAGTACTAAGCATCTCTAAAAGTGTTTCAGGTATTGGTATTCCCACTTGAGAATGGAGGACACAGAGGTTAAGTCACTCTTTTTGGGTCACCCAGCTGGTAGTCACCAGCGCCTGTGTTCGTGCCCAGGTCAGCCTGACTCCAAAGCCCATGGTCTACCTGCCATGCCACACGGCTCCCAAGCAGGGGCCTCTGTGGAGCATAGACATGGGTGTCACATGCCCTTCCATTTCACATCTCCGTCTCTCAAGATTTAGGGTTGACAGCATCATCTTTGTTCCAGGCTTGTCCACAATGAACCGCCATCATCCAGATGGAAAAAGGGGGTGGTGTGTGGCTCAGAATTAAAGAAGAAATTGCTGCCAGTCAAAGCGGATTGATAGTGAGATGGGCTGCCTGGGAAGGCAGTGGGTACCCGCCATCATCACTGGGTAACCACCTGAAGGATCTGTTGGGAAGAGAAGAGTCATCCTTCAAAGTATTGTAGTGTGTGTGTGTGTGTGTGTGTGTGTGTGTGTGTGTGTGTGTGTGTAGACTTGGGCAAGAGGAATTGGACTCAGATACTCCTAATATGCCTCCAGGTCCTGAAATGGAGGGACCCAAGGGGGCTAGTCAAAGCTCAGTGGGTGAGAGATGGTTCTAGAAGATGAGCTCACAGAACTGGGGAGTTCCAGAAGGCCCTCCCCAATCATTCTCTTAAAGCTGGGTGCTTGGAGACCCGGCAGTATCATGGAGGGTGTCCTGAGCTGAAGCAGGGTTCACGGTCACTGCTGCTGCCGCCACTGTAACTTCTGTGTCAGCTTTGGTGGGAACGAAATCTGATCAGTGAGCCCCTTTCCCCATTTTCCTGCGGCTGTTAACCAGGTCCCTGGGCTGGGCTGGCCAGCGAGGGGCATGGAAAAAGAAAGGTGGTGATTAGAGATGGGGGGCAGGAGGCATACTGGACTGGGAGTGTGATGAGTTCAGAGAGAGAGAGAGAGAGAGAGAGAGAGAGAGAGAGAGAGAGAGAGGAGCCCACACTGGCAGGTCTCTGGTCTTTGAATTACTATACCTGTCTCCTTCTACCTCTAGACCTGCTGTGAAATACTCAGGATAAAATTACTTTTAACTCAATTTGCTACAAAAAAACCAAACAAACAGTCTCTGTATTGCTATACAATACAGCTTGGTTTCTTCAGCTCTAAATTGGGGATATTAATCCTATCCCCCTTGAACTGTTGAGCGGATTAGATGAGATTCAGTTAGAAAACATCCACAAGAGGCCTGGCCCCATGTCTGCCAGGTTTTAAAAATCCAGCGAGGTGAATTGTCTCCGTCCCTTTCTTTTCCCACACTTGGAGGGGAAGGCCTCATGCGCCTGTGGTCATGACTGCAGTATAATTTAGTTTAAGAAGCATCCATTGAACAGCCACTCCATATCAGCACCTCTGCTTGACTTTTAGGAGATGAAGATACATGCGACAGCCACTGTTCTCGGGAAGTTTACCTCATGGTGGGAAAGACTAACCTATACTACAGTCTCGTGTGGCAGAGCGAGAGCAGAAACACAGGGTGCTTTGGGGGAGTGTTGGGGGGCATTGAGCTATCAGGGGAGCCTTGCTGGAGAACTCATCTCTGAGGGGACCTTTGAGGTATGAGTAAGAGTTACCCATGTAAAGGAAAGGAGGGAGTTTCTGTTCTAGACGGTAGGATTGTCCTGAGTGTACAATATGGCATTACTGGAACTTAAAGTGGAAGTGAGGGAGGGGTCAGCAGGGCTGGGTCCTGAGGCTCATGCTCAGAAGCAATGATGAAGGGGCCATCGAAGGGCGTCACAAGCTTTTTGTTTAGAAACTTCATTCTGGTAAATGCGTGCAGAATAGTTTGGAAGAAGGGTCAGGACCGGATATAAAAGAGCGTCAGCATACCAGGACGATGGTCTGAACGGAGGGGAAAACGGTGTTCTGATGGGGAGAGTAAAATGAACAGCACTTTGGGATGGATTGGTTGGGATGGTTGAAGGATGTAGTGATGAAGAGAAGGAGTGAAGAATAACAGCCGTATTTCTAGTTTGGATAAAACACTATGAGCTTAAAACCAAGACGATTTTAAACCTAGAAAGGAAAGACATTGAAGAGGAGTAGATTTCAGTGGGAACATTAGTTCTTTTAGACACACTTAGTTTGAAGTGATGGGGATATCCAAGCCAGGAGGCAGTTGCATAGGAGGTCTGCTGCTCCGAGAAAGATGTAATAATATAAAGCCATCAGCCTGTGGGTGGAGTTAACAGCAGGGCTGTCCAGGGGGTATCCTGACATGGAAGACAAGAGGGCCCGAGGGTAGGAGTGCCTGGAAAGCATAGCAGCATTTAAGACCTGGGCAGAAGTGGATTCCACAAAGGAGAATGAGAAGAGATAACCTGAGAGGGAGAAGGGAACCTGGGAGAGGGGAGCATCATGGAAGCCAAGCGAGGCAAGAATTTCAACAGGGTGGAGTGGTCCACAGAATCAAATGCTGCTGAGAACTCCTATAAGACAAGCACTAACAAGGATCTAGTGGACCGAACAGAACAGTTTCAGCGAGTGGTGGTGGGGAAGCTAGTCAATTTCACTGGGTTGGAAAACAAACAGGAGGCGAGAAAATGGTAATTTCGCCCCTAGAAGTTTAGATGAGGAGACAGGGAGAGAGGCAGGTCAGTTACAGATAATGACAAGAATCAAGGGAAGGTATTTTATTGGCTGGAGACCTTCACACATCTATATACACAGAGGAAGGCAGAGCTGGTCGGAAGGAGATGATACTGCCGCTGAGAGAGACGAGATGGCTGGTGACATAAGGCTTAGAGATGGAAAAGGATGAAATCTAGAGCTCGGAGCAAAGACGGGCGTTGATACTTGAAAGAGTAGAAGAACCTTACCCTCACACTCGGGGGTGACAATGAGGGCACATGAGGCTACTGATGCATTTTGTAAGAGGGACGGGGCTAAGGCAGAAAGAGGAAGGAAATCTCACAGGTGACCACCTTGTTTTTCCTCATTGAGGCAGGAGGCCAGGTCTTCTGGGAGCAAAGGGGTGGGACAACCCAGGGTCAACGAGGGTCTTGAATACCCTTCCCGGGAAACGGGCGCGAGAAAGCTGACCAAAGACAAGCATCAGTGCTAATGCTACAAGTACTTCATAATAAAAAGAACAACTAACCTCTTGTTAGTGCAAAGAGCTAAATTATCTCTGTGCCTTTCTTTTCTCATTCATTCATTTGACAATCTTATGAGGCAGGTGTTACTAGTTGCCTCATTTTATGGATGAAGAAAATGAGGCTCAGGAAGGGCCCCAAGTCCAAGGTGCCGATGTCATTAAGGGCAGAGGTGGGCTTCACACTCAGGTGTTACTACAAAGCCACACCCTTAACTCTCCTTGTCATCCTCAGGGGTTTGAAACTCCAGTGGGGGTGGAGGCCACGCTGTGGCAGGGACACCCTTTCTCAAGGTTGTGTGACTGTTTTGTTTTCTGATACGATGAAAGCGGAGGGGAAATGTGGTGGGATAGAGGTCCTGAGGGAGGTGGAAAGGTATGTCGGAGGCGGTGGCCAGGAGGGGAAGGGAAGGCTGCAGAGGTGGGGGGTTGTGGGGTGACGATGAATGCAGGGGTGTTTGTTTTCTCCTCCGTGTCCCTTCCTCTGCTCTCAGCTGCTGGGGCAGGGTGGCATCAAGCAGGATGGGAAGGGAGAAGGGCTGGCCGTAGGGAACCCTCTCCTGGATCTCAGGGGTGTGGCTGATGCATCGCTGGGGCTGCCAGGGAGCTGGCTGGCCGTGTTGGTGCCTTCTCCCCATTTCCCTGGCCTTGTTTTCCTTCTTCTTCCAGGGGTAGCTGTCTGAGAGGACGACCAAGGCTGTGGAGCGGCCTGCCATCTCAAAGCTCAGCTCGGAGCCAGTGGGGTGAGGGCTTCACCTCTGTCGCCGACATGGAAGCCGGGAGCTGGGCTCCCAGAAGGCATCTGTGCCCACCCGGGATCATGTTGGTGGCCTTTGCCTCTCTGCTCAGCTGCCTGTTCACCTCCGGCCAGGCCAAGGTCTACAGTCGCTGCGAGCTGGCCAGAGTGCTACAGGATTTCGGCCTGGAGGGATACCGGGGCTATAACCTGGCTGACTGTGAGAACCCCTCTCCCTGGTGGGCTCCACCCCTTCTCATCACCACTCCCTCCCTCCCTCCCTCCTTCTCTCTCTCCTCCTTTTCATTCAAGGGCTGTGGCCTTAGGAGCTTTCTGAGCCCCAGTTCTCATTTGTAAACCAAGGATTATATGAGATGGCAGGTAGGGAACACCCAGCACTGAGCCAAATACACAGCAGGCAGGCAAGAGGCAGCCCAATCAGAATCGCCCCTTCATTTCCCCCGAGGCTAAAGCCAGGAGCCAAAGAAACAGAATAGTTTAGCACTCTAATTTTAGTCTTGGCATGAGGACCAGAAATTCCCATTGCAGTTTAGGGCAAACTGAGCAAATCAGTAACTTCTCAAGCTGGTGGCAGTTTCAGGAAGTTGCAAGTGCAGCCACATCGGCACTTATTTTTTCTCTAGTTGTAGGCTCCTGGACAGATTCCACCTGTGTTTTCCTCATCTTGCCTCTAAGGATTTAGCTCTTGTTCATTCATTCCACAAACATTTCTTGGGCCCCACTATGTGTGGAACCAAGACAACGGGAAGGTGGCTGGCCCGGAGGCAGGAGACCTGAGGTCCAGTTGTGACTCTTGCTATTTGGTAGATGTATGTGACCTTGAGTAAGTCACTTTGAGCCTCTGAACCTCGATGGATTCATTTGTCAACGGGGTGGGAGGGCGTTTGCCCTGGTTACCTCTCAGCAGGAGCTGAGGCTTGAAGGAGCTAACGTGTGGGACCTGCACTGTGGGCGCGCTGGTCTGGCTTGGCCTTGATCACGTGACCCCCAGGCCTGTGTCTCCACCCTATGCAGGGGTCTGTCTTGCCTATTTCACAAGTGGCTTCAACACAGCTGCTGTGGACCACGAAGCTGATGGAAGCACCAACAATGGCATCTTCCAGATTAACAGCCGGAAGTGGTGCAAAAATCTCAACCCAAACGTCCCCAACTGGTGCCAGATGTACTGCTCCGGTAGGAGGGGCCTGAGCCTGGCGCCGGCTGAGGCCAGGCCTCGGCACCAGCCTTTGCTCCTCATGGTTTTCTTTGCTATTTTTACCTTTATCTTTGAATGGGGGATCCCCCCACATCCTGCTGGTCTTACCAAGGAGAGTGGGATGGGGCGAGAGATGAAAGTGGGTTCTGAATGAATCTCACTTGGGGTCCCAGAGAGGAGACTGTCCTGCGTGCTATAGGAATGGAGGGGGGACTGCTTCTGATAGGAGATGACAGTGATAGAGTAATGCCTGTGCTTTCAAAGGGATCAAGAGACAGGGTTGGGTTTAGGATGGAGGAGTGTGTGTGTGTGTGTGTGTGTGTGTGTGTTTGTGAGAGAGAGAGAGAGAAAGAGAGAGAGAGAGAGAGAGAGAGAGAGAGAGAGAGAGAGAGAGAGAGGCTTTCATGTATATTCAGCTCAACTCCCTGCTCCCTCATTGTGTTTTTCTGCCTCTCACCCCAGATTTGTTGAATCCTAACCTCAAGGACACGATAATCTGTGCCATGAAGATAGCTCAACAGCCCCAGGGCCTGAGCAGCTGGTAAGTGGTTTGGCTGGAGCCCCCCACAGGCGATGTGGGCAGGACTTGTGCACAGCAGCAGGAAGCTAACTTTTCTGAGTGCCTGCTTTATCCCAGGCAGCATTGCAAAGCTTCACAATCTAATCGCCCAACGTTCAGTGGGAGGGATTCCTACCACGGAAGTATTCACAGACAATGCACTGAGTTTCAGGGAGGAGAAGCAATTCACCGGAGGTCATGGCTCTTCCAAGCTTCCCCTGCCTACGGGTCCACTAGATCTGGGCCTAATAAGCCTTTTTCTTTTCTTTTCTTTTCTTTTTTTAACTGTGGTATCTTTGTCGAAACAAACTTTTATATAAATGCCCACGATGCACAACAGATCAAATACTCTATTCCCCTCCTGAAGCAGGGTGGGCGCTCCAGACCCTGACCCTGTCAGCCTTCTCTTTTTCCACCCCCTTCTCACAAGGTGGGAAGCCATCCTTACAGGCAGGGGAGTTGGATGAGCATCGATGGGCATTAGACTAGATCTTTGGTTCACTGAGGCACCTCCGAGACAGGAGCGCAGCAGGTTTTCAGCCTCTTCTGATGAGAGTTTCACTTAGTCTCCAACCTCCTTTTATTCACATTTCTGGATGAGACACCCACAGGGGGAAGAATGCGGGGAAGGTGAAATACTCTCGTTGGCTGGTGCAACCAGAACCATGGACAGGTGTGATAGTGACACGGCTGGTGAAGTAATTTGAAAGGCATGAAATGTCTAGGGAGAGACTAGAGGCAGCGGGGACCAGTGGGGTGACTTTGCAGGAGTCTAGAGAGATATAAGGTCTGGACTCGGCCAGTTGCATGGATGATGGATGGGAGGAGGGTTGGGTGTAAGGGGCCATGGAGGAGGACTAGGGACAGGGGATAGGTGAGGGAGAGGAGGAGATGAAAATGATTGTGAACAGAGACAAGGTCTGAGATGGGTCTTGACAATGGCCACAGCTTTGGAGACATGTTGGTTTGAGAGCAGTTGAAGCCCTAAGAATTGAATCTGGAGTGAGGCAGGCTCAGCAGGACATAATGCACATGTATAAAATCAGGGAGGGTGAATGCAAGCTCAGGCAGGAATCCAAGAGCTTGAGGCTTTGGGGTCACCAGCTGGGATGGTAGAAACAGGTCCTTGTGGAGTAAATCAAAGGACAACTCACTTTTGTACACTGGGAGGAAATTTGTGGTACCCCTTAGAGGTGATCCAGGCTGATAAGCAGTGACCCCAGAAGGTGGAAACCGTGCCGTTTAATCTTTCCACGCGCACGCATCGAGAACTCACCTGTGCCAGGCTCTGTGCTGGGTGCTGAGCTTCACAGATGGCTGAGACCCAAGTGTTTGCCCTCAAGGGTCTCACAGTCCAATGGAAGTAGGAAGAGGCCAGTCACTCACTCTTGGTTGATAAAGCACTAGCGGTCCTTAGGGGCACTCCTGGTCATTGGGCTTTCCGCCATTGGCATCATGGAGGACACTAGTTATCCAAGTTGGAACCCCTGGGAACTTGGGACCCCAGGATCTTGCTTATCTTCCTCAAGATACCCATGTGACGCTGGAGCAAGGCAATGATCCTGAAAGAGTTTATCAACTATGGGCACAACACTTGAAAGACCCAGGAGAATTGGATGTGTGTGCAGCTCTGTCATTTACTAGCTGTAGACCTTGGTCAAGTAATTGTGCATCTCAGTCTGGTTTTCATTTGGAATATAGGACATGTAATATCTAGGGCTGCTGGGGTGGGGCAGATAAATCGGTGGTGGATGAGACAGTGCTTTGAAAACTGTAAAGGGCTGTACTCGTGGAAGGGGGAGCATCACTGTCGGCAGAAATATCAATGTAGGAAAAGAGCATTGGACTGGGGCTCGGGACCCCAGGACCCCAGTCCTTTGCCACTGACTTCTGAGTGGACAGTAGATTTGATTAAATTACTATGTATCTCTATTGGTTAAATAAGAAAGCTAGACAGATGACTTTTTAAGAGCCATTATCTTTCTTTCTTTTCTTTTCTTTTTTTTTTACTTTTAGTGGGTTCTTTGTTAGTTAACGCAGCTTAATTTTCTCTCTTTTCCTCGCTAGCCCCTTTCCTCACCTCACTTCTGGTCTGGAGGCCTTACCTCCTTCCTGTTCTCTGAGCAGAGACTGAAGGCTGCAGCTGATTTGGTCTCTCCCCATCCCCCATCCTCAGGGAGGCCTGGAGGCAGCACTGCCAGGGCAAGGACCTCAGAGACTGGGTGGATGGCTGTGACTCCTAGGGTCCTCTTGGGATGGACCGGGCTGCGCATGGCAGGCTGGGAAATGCGGTTTGGCTCCTGAACCAGGCGTGGGAAGACAAGCCAGCTAATAAAGTATAGTTAAAAGTAAGTGTGGGTCTCAGCTATCACTGTGCTTCCAGGTGGCAGGTTAGAGCTAGAGCATCTCAGGGTTTCTTCACCTATGCACCTGGGCTGGGCTTCAGGTGGGCTCCAAAAAGCTTACCATGGAAGGCTTGCAGCTATTCCTGGAGGCAGAGGTGGGGGGAGGGGCAGGCGCGAGGCCAGTGCCTCTCTTCACCACACCTGGCAGAATTTCCTAGACCATTTACCTGCATCTAGGTTTGCCAGATTTAGTAAAAAACAAAAACAAACCAAAAAAAACCCAACAACGGTAACAAAAACAGAATGCCTGAGTTAAATCTGAATTTTGGTTACACAACAAAAATTTTATTATGAACATGTCCCCAATATTGTATGGGACACACTTATATTAAAACATGATTTGTTGGGGTGGCCAGGTAGCTCAGGTGGTTAGAGTGCAGTGCTCATAACACCAAGGTTGCTGGTTCGATCCCCACGTGGACCACTGAGGTGTGCCCTCCACAACTAGATTGAAACAACTACTTGACCTGGAGCTGATGGGTCCTGGAAAAACACACTGTTTCCCAATAAAATAAAATAAAAAATGTTGTTGTATACTTGAAAGTCAAATTTAGCTAGGTGTCCTATGTTTTATCTGGCAACCCTACTTGGGTCTGGTGTTGTATACCTCTAGCTTGTTTGGGAGGGTACTTGGAATACTTATTTCAAGTGGCTTTGGTTGCAGAGGTGGCCAGGGTGCCTTGGTCCTCTCTAGCTGATAACTGCCAGCACACTGGGAGCGGCCCAAGGAGTGGTGCAGTGATGGGTGACTGCCACCAGGGGCTTCAGCTAGGGTTCTAACCCTGCTCTCCAGTGCCCTCTAGTGGGTGCCACTGATAGTGATGTGGCTGTCACATCCGGGGTTTGGAAGCCACCATGCATGCTGTTGCATACTGGCTGGGAGGCTGGAGCATGGGGTGGAGGGCACAGGTGGCTTTCAGCCAGCAAAATGCAGTTCTCCATCTTCCTCAATATGCGGGGAGCTCAGACGGAGGCAGCACTGTCTCCTATAAACCTAGAGTTCAGTGTCTCCAGCCCCTTGGGATGAACTGCCTCTGTGGAGGGAAGGTGGGCAGAGTCTCGGGGTCACTGTGGATGTGGTGGCAGGAGCAGCAACTGCAGTGATGTCTGAGAGGCCAAGCCCTGAGTTCAGATTGGAGATTCTTCGGGAAAGGCCTCAGAGAACCCTGCACGTACTGAACAGTTGATTGAGGCATGGCTGGTGACGCCCAGGGAGAAGAGGAGCCTACAATGCCGACCAGCCCTCCACACCAACCTGCCGTCTCCGAATGCCACTGATCAGCAAATACCAGAGGGGTGGTTGAGTGTCACAAGTGGTGAAGCAGGCCAGTTTCCTCCCACTGCTGGTCTGGTGGTGGGCCACTCCCGTCTCCATCTTGTGTCTCACCCTGGCTCCTGGCTCTGCATCCCAGTGGAATGCTTGCCTCCAAGTCAAGATGATGATAAAATTTGAGGGCTGCTTATACAAGTGGACAGTGACGAAAGGCCAGATCCTTCCGGGGGTCTGCACTTGGGGGAGATCAACGATTGGTGGATCCATTCTCATTAATGTGGACACTGCTCTCTTTTTACTATTAAAGCAAACATTGTGTGCCTACTGTGCGCCATGCATTATCTAGTTTAGATCTTAGAACAATGACTGGGATGGAGGTACCATTATTATTCTCATTCTACAAATAAGGAAACAGAGGCTCAGAGGAGATACATTTGCACGAAGGTCAACATATGTAACTCCATGTGTGCTTGTAGTCACTGTACTGTGATGAGAGGTGGTTCTCGTCTCTCTCCCTCACCTGGCTGGAGACCCAGGGCCCACCATCTTTGTATGATTTGTACCCTCTACTTCAACTGTACTTCGGACTTCTGTTGCCTGCAAACTCCTGATTGTTCCCCTGGGTCCCATTCGCCCAGGAGTAGGTGGAGTGAGGCCCTGGGAATCCAAGGGAGAGTTATTAAAAAGACGTGGAGGCTCTGGGCTGACACTATAGCTTCGGGGCCCCTCCAAGAGGTGCTGGCAGGGGTCAGGCCTGGACAAGGGATCCTGGGGGCCTGGGCTGGGAGGCTGACCAGGAGCAGGTGGAGATGGAAGAGGAGTATCCGAGGCAGAGTGCCCTGGCCAAAGCCTGTGTACGAGAGATGAACGGTCTGTAGTTCCCTCTGGAAGTCCCGATTCCCAAGTGAAGTTCTCAGGTTGGTGAGAGTAACCAGGCTACGTCCTGGAGTCTCCCTGCTTCCATGTCATACTCTGACCCCGCGTTCCATTAGTCACTACGTCCTGTCTATTTTACCTGTTTAATATCTCTTGAAACGTCCTTCTGTTCCAGCCCATATACCTCTGCTTTAAATCAAGCCCCCTCACTGTTTTCCTAGGACCATCGCCATGGCCTCATAAGGGCATCCCTTGCTATCTCACCTCCCCGCTCAGAGTGAGCTTTCCACCTTGTTAGTCACTGGCATCCGGGTCCCAACGGCTTTTCTGAAGTTCAAGTCCAAGTTCCTTGACTTGGTACACAAGTTCTTTCACGACCCAGGCTCATACAGAGTCGTGTCTCAACTGCTCAGAAACTTTTGCTCGAGCTGGTGTGTATCCACGAATTTAGTTCCCTGAGCGAAACCATGCTGCTTCGTGCCTTTCACCACCACCTATCATTCTTCCTCTTGCTCATTACGCTCCAGCGAACAGACACTCTCCTTCCATGCACCAAGCTTGTCTTCGCCACAGGGGCTTCCCGCCTGGCCGTTGTCTTCCTGGAACGCCATTTCCTCAGTTCCGTGAGTGGCTATTCCTTTCTCCTCAGTCAGATCGAGTGTCAATTTTACCCACTCAGAGTGACTTCTCCGACCTCCCCAAGTTCTTCTCTGCCTCCAAGCCTTTGCTCAGTTATCTCCTCTGTAAACCTGCCTGCCAGGCAACTTCCACCCATCTCTGCAGGCTTCAGCCAAAACCTGCTCTGCCTCCTCAGCCTGGCAGACAGACCCTCGGGTAGCTCCCTCCCTTGTAGCTCTCTCTGCTAAGGTTCTCCTGTTGCCCACTTCTGCCTGATGAGACTCTGAGCTCCCCGAGACTGTGTCTTCTTGGTCTACAAACCCCCAGTGCCTAGCACTGTGCCTGCTACAGATTGGGCACACAGAAAACACTTGTGGAGTGACGGAGTCTGGACAGAGACCCTGCCTGGTGCTGGGAAGTCTTCCAGCACTTTCTTCCTCTGTTCCCCCCGCCCGTCCCCCAACGGTTTCTTTATCCTCCTCCCTCTAAAGTGGGTTCAGCTGGGTATGCTTTGGTGCCCACCAATCACTTTCTGTTGGGTCTATTTTAACTTGGATATAATTCCTTTTGAAAAGAAGCCGTGAAGTCTGAATTACACTGAAGACAAATGGTCCATAATGGCGATAAGTTAGCCAAATGAGCCACTCCCTTCAGAGACACAGCGTGGAGGGCAGCTTCCAGGAGGCTAGCGGTCTAAGTTCCCCATCCCAAGGCATCGCTCACATCCATTATCAGAGGTGGGTTTTAGTTTATTTTTAAACAAAAGCATCATTGCAGTTTGACTCAGAAATGAATGAAATGTCAACAGTGGTGTGTGTCTGGGGGCTCAACGGGCGGCCAGAGAACATTACGCGTGCATTTCCTGCCTGCAGTGGGCGCGGTGCTCCCATTCCTTAAGAACCAGGCCCCAGGGATGTTTGCAAAGCGATGCAACAGTTGCTTTCTCTGTATGCAGGTCTCCTCAGCCCCCAGAATCGCCACATGCATAAGATAATTTTATGAAATCACAGCTCCAAGGTTCTCTGTTCATATCCATTTTCTGCTTGCTCATTCATTTTGCCATCTGCGAGAACTCTCCAGTACACACATTGCAGCCGGTGCCAAATGTTTAAAAAAAGTTATGGGAGAAAAAACTTGAAATTGATCAAATCCTAGCTGTTGTTTATTTTCTATCCCCTCCTGTAAACTAAAAAATGGCGGTCATTATGTCATCTCAGGAGAAGGAATGTGGGCTGCTCTCTGTGGAACTGTGGGAGTCTTCTGGAGGGCAGTTTAACACTTCTAGACCAGGGTGGCTTTACCCAGCATGTAACTAGGGGATGGGTTCTGAAGCTCCGTAACCCTCTTAAATTCGTAGGCAAATTTCATGTATATCTATGTGACCGTGAGCTTCTCCCCCCGCCCCCCGGCCCCGTCCCCCGGGAGACAGTTCATAGCTTTCACCTTATTTTTAATCCAAACCAATGATCTCAACAAGATCAAGAATCAATGTTTTACAGAAAGTGTATGTCTTAGCTTATTTAATTCTCATAACAACCCAGAAAATGAAAGATCATCATATCCATCACATCGATGGGTAATAGAGGCTCTGAGCAGTAAGTTAAATATCTGCTTAGATACCTGACACCCATTCTCAACTTAAGACTCAAGGACTGTTAGAGTTGGGCACCAAAGACATTCTCTGTTCATTTTCTACCCCCTCTCCTTGTATAGAGGAGGAAATGTAACGTAAGCCCAGAGAAATGAATTACATTGTCTAAAGTTATACGTACAGTTTACTGCAGGAATGGGTTAGAAATACAGTATTTTGACTCTGTCCAAAGCCTTTGCCTCCCTATTTCTTTGTTCTTGCAAAGCCAACGAGTGGAGGTTTCACTGACTGTTAAATTGAATTAGTAAGAAATTCTCCCCCTCTCCCCTGTCCTCAGGCTGGGTGGTTCCCACTGACCTGTTTCATGACCCCAAACACACTCAGCCTATTAGCTTTAGGAATAGACAAATGCATGCACATAATGATTCCGCGTGCCAGGGATCTCAGATGTGTGGGGAGAAAGCCATTGGCTAAATCAATCAACACTTGGCTTGAGAAGTACCCTCCTGGACACTTGGGGCACAGAGGAAGGAGCTTGAGGACTTTAGCCACGATACATCCCTCAGCGTGGGAGCCAGGCCCTCCATCCTTTGGCCCCTGTTTATCTCTCAATGGTCATTTTGGACACTTTCCCCTTTCACGGCTATGCTCGGGCCCCCTAGACCCACGTGCAGTCCCCTGAACTGGGCTTT